TTATAACATTACATATACAGGACAGGCTAATATGGCAGCTGAGAGACTGCAGGGAAATCCACAAGTTGCTGGTTTGGTGTTTTTTTTTTTTTTGGATGGACCCAAAGAAAAGTTTCTAGGGCCCTGTGTTGGTGGCAGAGTGTCAGGAAGTGCAGTGGGGTGTGGGCTGGGCACTGGGGAAGATGAACAATTTCAATAGCTGAGGCTACCCTGTGTAGTGGTTCTGCATTTGTAACGGGCATCAGAGTCACCTGGAAGGCTTGTAAACACAGGTTGCTGCTCTCCATCCCCAGAGTTTCTGATTCAGTAGGTATGAGGTAGGGTTGGCAAGTTTGCATCCCTAACAAGTTCCCAGGTGGTGCTGATGTAGCTGGTCTGGGGGAAACCACAGTGTGAGACCCAGCACCCTAGAGCATCATCAGTAAGTGCTTCCACCCCAGTGGATTTTAGGCTGCAGCAGCCTCTTTCCCTACCCCGCTTCTGGAATTTTCTCTCCACACCTCCCCAGACACCTAGAATGCCAGGATACTCCCTAGTCATACCCAAAGCCAATGGCCAGTTTCTATAGCCTGTGCTTCTCTCTCCAAGGTGATGGGGCAGCTGAGGAGAACCCAAGACTTTTAGTGGGGAGAGGGGAGGAGTTAGGGCATAGCCGAGAGCCAGACCCAGTCCTGGCCTGGGTCCTGCCTGCTCTGCCTGCTCAGCACGAGGACGGGAAGCGTGTCCCCCTTCTGCCTAAGCAGATTGGGAAAGATAACTTTGTTAACAGAAGGCTGGGCCCAGGGGTCCTGCTCTATAGGATTGGCACAGCCTGCGCTCACGCATGAGCTATTCCATTCAATAGAGAGCCCGGCCTTGTCCTGACAACTCGTCTGTGCCGGCAATCCTCTCTCAAGTGAAAGTGTCCCCCATCCCCCCTCCAACCCACCCCTTGCCCCTCAGGGCACGGGAGCCCTTGAACCTCAGCCAAATGGCAATGATGAAGAAGAATCTTTAAAAGTCAGCCAGGGGGAAGGAACAGAGAGGGCTATGCCTCCCTCCCAGCCCACTCCAGGTGGCACCAACAAGAAAAAGCAGGTATGGACCCCTTCACTGGTGAAGCAAAGAACCCTTGTTCTCCCCCCAATAATATCCAAATGTTCTTCCTAACAAGGGTAACACAGTGACTACTTCTCAAGTGCGTACTCTATGCCAAGTACTGAACTCAGTTGTTCACCCCGTGTCCTATTTCATCATTACAACTCTTGGAGGTAGACACTGGTTCCCATTTTTCACACGAGAAAACTGAGGCAGAGACAAAGAACATCACTTATGCCACGTCAGGCAGCTGACTAGTGGGGATGCTGAGATGATGTAAAACCAAGGTCTGGCATGAACCACTTCCAAGTTCAGTTGCCTACACGATGGAGGCCCAGCCCTAAGGCCAGATCAGGGTGCTGGGAGCTGGGAGATCAGAGTCCCCTCTCCTTGGGCAGATGTCCACGAGGCCTCTTTGCACAGGCAGGTGAACAAACCATAACTGGATAGACAAGAGACACAAATTACATTTCCCAACCATTTTTGTCCTCGCCCACTCTGTTTCCGCCCCTCTGGCGTCCTTACTGTTGAGAGCCTCCTCCCTGGGCTGTTTCCCCCACGCCCTCCTGGCCCGTCCCTCTTTAAAGTCTGCTCTCACCTCACCTCCCCAGTGAGGTCTGCGTCAGCACCACCTCCCTCCGCCAGCCATATTTTTTCATTTTTGGCAGCACTTATCACTTTCTAACCTACTATATAATTCACTCAGTTACTGTGTTTAATAAGAATCATCTGGGACCGGGCGAGTGGCTCAGTTGGTTAAGAGCTCGCTCAAGAGTTTGAGCTCTGAGCAACAGCAGTTCGTTTCCCAGCCTGAGCTGAGCAGCCGCTGAACTGCCAACAGGTGACAGGATGGCTCAGCTTAAGAAAAATAAAATAAATTAAAAAAAAAAAAAAAAAAATCGTCTGCTCCCCCCCCCCTGATTACTCTTTAACCTATTTTGCTTTATCATCTGCAATTATCTGTTTACTTATTAATTGACTTGTTTGTTCCCCCCCCCCCCACTAGAATATAAGCTCCGCTAGGGCAGGGGTCTTTGTTTTATTCACTGATATGTCCCAAACACCCAAATAGGGTATATGCTCAACGAAGTCTTGCTGAGCAAATCTCCAAGCGTTTCCCACTAAGTCAGAACCAGGCCTGAGGTACCCAGGGAAGGGGCCCAACTCACCCACAGCTCCTGGTCCCAGGTTTCTCAGGGGCCCATTCGCCCTTGCACACGCCAGCAGCTGGGAGAGAAAGATTCTGCTTCTCCCAATTGCAGTCACCACAGGAACCAACAGAGGACAGTCCCCTCAGGCCTCATATATCCACCTGCCCTTCCACTCAAGCTAGGATTCACCTGGTCTTCCCTAAAGAGCCTGCTGCGTAAATGAGTCTGTACATGGAAGACACCTGGGCCTTGGAGCTGCACCATGACGTCAGAGTGTCATTTCCACCCTAAGCCTTGGTTTCCTCATCTATAAAATGAGGTGGGACCAATGATCTCTTCTAATCATTCCCACTTCTGGCATCTTCCCTGTGGAAAGTGGGGACTGTATGACCTTGGTCGAGGCACGCTTAGAAACAAACCAACCCATGACCCTGGGGCACGGGATACAGCCACACTCAGAGGGGGAGGAGATCACAGCGGACATAACCAACAAGTGAAAGGGATTCGCAGCATTGCATGGGTTAGATGTGCAGCCACCATCATCAAAAGTCCTTTACACAAAACAGGAATGCAATTATTATCATGTCTATTTTCACAGACTGGAAAACCGAGCCTGGGAGAGGCTGAGCAAGCTGCCTACCGGTAGGAAGCAAAAAAGCCAAACCCAGAGCCAGGTCTGGGTACAAATCCAACAATCATCACACACATGACTGTTTCAGTTTCTGAAATTCACCCTGGCAGGAGAATGCCACCATTAGATTATCCAAAATGTCAATAATCTAATAACCTATTCTATAGGATTACAGAATACAAAATTGGAATTTGCATTTGAATGTAGTGAATCTCATGTTCTAGAGATTTCTTTACATCAAATGTAAATTTGTAGGGCGGCCATAAGAAAACATCCCTCTGAAAGATCTGAGAAATTGACTTCGATTCGTGTAGGGTAGGAATAGACGATTCAACTCTCAGTGACAGCTGAGATGAAAGCTTTTCTCCCATCCCTTTCAAAACGTTCCTCCAGAGGTATGGGATGGAGTGCTTATATTTTCAAGGACTTTCCAGCTGCAAACAGAAGAACTGACAACACAAATAATTCAATTAGGTATTATTCATAGAGTGTCTTCAATGTCAGCAGAGTAAATAAGCCAGGTGCTAAACAGGAAAGCTAGATTCACCCAAACCTGAGACTACCATTGGTTCGGGGCTCTGTTGACAGCCCCTGTTTCTCCAGACTCTGCTAGCATCTCTCGCACAATGATGTCAGGTGATGGGGCCATATTAGCCAAGTTGGACTGGGAAGCCCTGGATGGGACAAGTTCATTCTCAAGAGATGCTTTCTAGGTTCTGGGATGTCTCCAGGAAAGCTCATGCTTCAGGAATCGGCATTTTCTTGTTCTCAGAAGAATGATTGCATTTCTTTTCTCTCTCCTCTGACTTTCTTGCCTCATTGATATTGGGGGACAGCCTCAACCCGCTGTATTTAACTGAGGAATTCCATAGAGGGCATTGTTCTGGTCAGTGTGTGCCCTCAAACTTGGAAGTTCAAAAGAAATCAGAATTCAAAAGTAAGTAAGGCTGGGGGCTACTGAACACTTTAATAAAAATGGACTTCTGAGACTCACACAACATTGGTACCATCCTCCTTCAAACTGTCATCATCAAAATGCAATATGCCCGTGACACCAAAAAGGTCAGGGAATGGGGAGTGGAGGGATGGGGGAGAGGCAAGTGCTTCGATTTTTTTTTTCTGTTTTACCCTCAAAGTTGCCTTCCATTGAGTAATCATACATTGCAGATTTTCTTAAACAATCCCACATTCAACTATTTTTGTTCCATTATATTCACAAACTAGACTTGTAGAAGAAAATGTCCCAATTTCTGATTTGGAAAATGTGGTCCAAACAATCGCTTTTTATACCACTGCAGTAGTCAGCCCCAGGCAGTGGGAAGGGAATGGGCCTCAGAGAGGTGGAAAGCATCGCTCCCCATTAAGCCACACTGGTATTTCATCTGAGAGCCTCTTTGTGAGCAAAACCATCATACCCCCATTTCACAGATGGAGGTGCTAAGGTCTGAAAGTGTTAGCTGACGCTGCATAATCCCCTTGATTCTGCAGCTTTTCAAAAGTATTTGTAATCACCAGTGAAACAAGGAGGAAATGTTATTACCTTGACAAATGGAGCCAGATGCTTTGGAGTATTAAGGCTCCTTTTCAAAGAAGGGCACGACCCTGATGAAAGTTATAAGACACAAGAACAAATCACCAATGGAGGATGAAATATCATCCTTTGAGAAAAAAACAACAACAACCACTCTCTTTCGGGATGGCTTTAGCACAGTCTGACTCAGGGCAGAAGGATGCACACAGGTTACCTCTTACTGTCCCTTCATCCCTACAAATCTCTAAGCTGACGATGAGACACGTTGGGAAGATGCCCTTGGAGACAAGCCAGGGGTGTCCTGTTGTAGAGGTCCTGCCTGCTGCTAAAAGAAACGTTTGGAAGCCGCAGAAGCCCCATCTAAGCTTTCCCACATCTGCTTTCCCCTCCCTCCTCCCCTCAGTGCCCAATACAGCTCTGCCATTCTCTCTCTCCTATTGTTTTCCAAACATCCCTCCCTTCAGAAAAGCTGTCTGGCTGGGAGCTTAAAATATTGCTGGACAGTAAAACCTACCCATCAGGGCCAATCCAGTCATATCTGTTCAGTCGTGCAGGGCAGTAGGGCGGGGTAGAGAAGTGGGGGGTGGGCCTTTAGCGCCACAGGAAAGAGGCCAAAGTTGCCGTGTTGCTGTTGAGCGCCAAGAGGGAAAGGGAGCACGTATTTCTCCGGGGGACCCGCCTCCTACTGGCAAGTTTTCCTTGGGAGTTGTTAGTTTGTAGCCTTCCCACCCTCCCTACCCTTTAGCTCCTACTCCAGCTTCTTTCCCAGCCTAATCTTTGAGCCATTTCTGGGCTTCTCCAGAAGCAATAACATTGTCACTAAGGTTCAGTCTTGGGTTGGGATGGCTGGACTTAGAGTTCAATTGAAAACTCTCTTGGAATTAGCCGAAGAATTGGTAGAGGTGTCGAAGGGAACAGAATGTACGAATCGGGGAGAGGAGGCACAGAGATGTCCAAATTCTAACTACGACGTGACTTTTTAAGGTCTTTTCATTTTTTCAGAATGAATTAGCATGCCTCCAGAAATCCAGAGAGAGCTAAACTAAGTACTTGATGTTTATGAAAGAGTTTTGCACTTTTTTACGCAATCTCTGCAATGGGAGTAATAGTGATAACTATTGGGTGCTGTGCGTGGAGGAGAGGCTTCGTGCTCAGCATTTTCAATGTTGGAGCATTTCATGGAGCACGGGAACAGGTCTGGCTAAGGACCAGAAAACTCCTCCTGGGAGTAGGTTCTGTTGTCTTTCTATGGGAGCTGCCGGTTGAGGTGGGGGCTCTAGAAACAGGTATGGAGGCACGTTTACACTCCCTTATCCACCGGAGTGCTAAGTGGCCATCTAATCCTTTGGGGGAGCTTGTCAACATGGATGTATATGCGTTGTTCGGCCTCTTCAAAGCCAGGAGAAGGCTATGCCACACTGGCGATCGCCCTGGGCTTGTCGCTGGACAACCAGGGCCCACATCCTGGCTCTGCCCTCACTAGCTGAGCCGTCTCAGGAGACTGACTTTAAGCTTGCAGGCTGTCTCCCTATCTGGGAATGGTAGCTGGTGACAAATGGTTCTCAAACACCCATCTGTGAACATGTCAGTTCTGGTCCAAATGAATTTTTCAGCAGGCTGTGACCAAAAATGTGACAACAATGTAGTAAACAATGTAGTCAATTTTTCACCAAGTTAAATGTGTTTGGTGTAAAGGCCTGTCTTTTATTCTGAAATTATGTCCTTTCTGGTTTTGTATGAAAATTCCCCGTTTATGAAAGATGTCAAAAACAGGCAGTAGTCATAGTTAGTGATTTAATACGTTTCTTGTTTTTATGTCCTTGCTTGGCAAAATAAGGACTTGGTAGCCCTTTGGTGGTCACCCTCTTTGGTTGTTATTGTACTACTCTGAAATCCAAGTCTGAGAACCATGGCCTCATTCACAGGATGTTATGAGAACTGAAATAAGGTATGTGAAAGTACATATTGGGTGGTCGGAAAAGTCATGACGTATTTTTTCTATGTTTTTCGTTGCAAAAATGCATCATGACTTTTTTGACAACCCAATAATTTATAAATAGATAAGGGCCACCCAAACCTAAGGTGTCATCTTCGTCACTACCTAAAACCAGGGTCTTCTGGTGGGTGCCCTGGGGGTGGACGCTTGAACTCCACAAGCTTAGTTTCCATCTGTAATAGATCTATTCACTAAATTTTCACAAGCAAAAGAAAACTCCTCTTTGAAGATGGGAAGAGAAATATTCTTCCTTCGGTTTAGACGTCTCCCGGCTGCGGTGGAACTGTTTGCTCAAATATACTCTTATCTGACTTCCTTTAAGCGTCATTTTTATTGTTAGACACCAGGAACCCCGGGCGCTTTCGCCTCTAAGGCTTCTCTCCTTCACAGCATAGCTGGCCTGTTTCAATAGCAGAGAATTGAGAAGATTTTGTCTGAAGTTAAGGTTTCTCTCCTTCTATTATTACAAGAAACTTTGTAACTAGTAGTAAAAAAAAAAAAATTCCTAGCATTGCAGAGTGGATGTGGAAGAGAGCCCTGTTTGGCTTGAGTCAGGAGACTCTTTGAATGTCATAAACATGTGTCCTGACACTCATGTGTCAAGAAGCATTGGCCTTCCCATTTATATATTATACTTGACCTTATATAAAACAGTGTCTCCAAACAGCAAGTTTGGGATCAATTTACTATCCTTTTTTGGTAGTTGCCGTTTCTTTGCAAGTTCTCAATCTCCCCACGCTACCTGCTGCAAAAAGAACTCCAGTTCCCCAGACTCTAAGTAATAGCAGCATTACGAGCACGCGGGGATTGAGAATTTCAGATTTCAGACGATTACTGTTGGTCCCATCCACTGATGTCTATGGAGCTGCCACTCTGATGGCTTTTGTTCTGTGTTATGACGGTTCATGGAAGATGAAGACAAAATGGTCCCTGCCCTCTGAGAGCTTTTGATCCAAAAAGGGAAAAACAAGACTGGTAGACAGACAGTGCTGAGAGCATGTGCTCACTGCACACATTTGTGTGGGTGCATAAGTGAAATACAATCAGAAATCCAAGAGGACAAACAGGGTACAATACAAGTAAGACAGTCAAAGCTGAGTTGACATATCCATGAGAATAAGTCATTAGCAACGCTAGATTTAGAGTACATCAAAGCCAGAATTGACCTTATAGGAGTAAATTATATCAACAGTTGTTTTAACATGAATGTCAGATTGAACCGTTTGATAAGAAGTTTGGATTTTCCTGGTTCTGCCACCAAGAGGATTTATGCTTGGGCTGCTTACCTGATTGTGATGTTTCCCATCTGTTTCTAGAAGGAGGTGAGGATGGCTGCCTCTCTTTAAAGGGCAAGCACTAGATTTCACTGTACTTTGAGGAGCGTGAGCAGCAGAAGTATAGCTAGATGCATGCAACCAGGATTCTGAACTGTTGGTTCTGAGTAGAGGCCTCTCTGTCACTCTCAATTCCGCACTGCTACGAGGAGCTCATCCCAATGCTGGAGTCAGGCTCAGGAAGAAAGGAGCTGCTGTCAGATGCGCCACCCAACTGGGAGTTTCTGGGGCTCCAAGAGGATCAGCGCCCTCTCTCCCCAACAAGAAGCAGATAGCCGATGTGTGTACCCTGAGAGCATAGGTTGGGCACTGCTCGAGCCTTCATTCAGTGTCAGCAACCAAGCACTTACTGTCCAGCCAGGCTCCAAACCACAGGCTGGAAGAAGGCTTTAAGATGCCATGTTGTTTACCCTCGCCTAAAGATGAAAATCACACCTAATTGAAGACACCACTTTTCATCACTCATTCAAGTGTTTAACAATTATCACTGTTGTTAAAAGCAGTGGGTACATTCCTTTGGCCCCATGGACTTCTGATCCCATGGAGGGAGGGGAGAAGTGAGGGGGCCTGGCTGGGGGAAGCCCAGAGCAGCATCTCTCAGAGGGGCTCTGGCTTGGTCTAAGGGCAGTGATGAATAAATGTCACAACCCTAGAGATGTTCAAGCTGGAGGAACATCTGTCCTAGGCCAAGGGGGAAGCTTGGATCATAATCCTTCATAGGTTACCAGCTTGCATAATGGATTTGCCAGGGACGAATGACCCGATTTGTGCACATCACCCCTGTCAGTGCAACCCCATCTCCATCCGTCGTTGCTATTGCTAGGGCATTATATACGATCATGTTTACTGGTTGTTGTTGTTGTTGTTTTCTACAGATCAATTTTTAGCTCTGTTAAAATAACCACATGTTATAGACCCTAAAACCTTTTCATTCTGAAGTGTCCTAGTGAAGCCTTCCTCGCTCTATAACATGATTCCTTCCCAAAGCACTCTCCCCATTCCCTGGGTTTAAAAGAGTAATAACAATCATTTTAAAATACTGCTCTCAATTTGTGAAGCTATTAAGAAGGGTTTCCAGATTTCAACCTACGAAAGAGAAAACATAAGTTAAGAATACGGGAGTCAGAGAACTGTGGGTAGCTCTGATCGCAGGCAGTGTGTGTCAGGGGTGTAGTGGAACGGACCCAGGCTTTGGGATCAGGCCGACAGAATGGCTGCTATTTGGCTGTCTGAGCATAGATAATTTATGGAACCTCTCTGAGCCTCAGTTTTCTCCTGCGTTGGAACCAAATTAGTTAACAAACACTTATCGAGCTCTCATTACGTGCTGGGCTCAGTGACAGGCATTGACAATACAGCTGAAAATAAAACAGGGGTGGTCCATATCCTCATGAAGATGACAGCCTAGCAGGATCAAGTGAAATGAAATAATGTCAAAGTCTGTCACAAAGTAGATATTCAGTAAATATCAGCTTCCTTCCACTTCCCTTAGAACATATGATCATGATATATCTAACACAGTCAAAAGATAGATGGCTACAGACAATTTCATATGTACAAGAATTTCAGGGGGGCCAAACCCTGGCGGTATAGGGTATTCTTCCAGCATTATGCTTCATGAACCTTAGCTCTGCTTATGGTCTTGATTGAATTCCATGTAACCATGGGTTTCTGAACCCTTATTTGGGGTGGAGTTCAGGGAATCCTACACATATTGCCTCATTTATCCTTTTAGATGGCTTGTGAAGTGAAGAACAGGGATTAACATTAAACCCAATTTACAAATGAGGAAGCTAACGGAAGCAGATAATTGTGTGCCCCTTTCGTCCCCTAGTCCTGGTCTGCACAGAGGAGGCACTCGGTGGGTGCTGTTCACCCGTGGACTGTTCCAGCAACTCAGAGAGGGCAGGCTCCCTAACTCTGGGTGACTGACTCGGGGTTGCCCTGCGGCCTCTCAGCTTCTGCCTTCTCCCTCCTCCAGGTGGCTGAGACATGGGCGACTGGAGTTTCCTGGGGAACATCCTGGAGGAGGTGAATGAGCACTCCACGGTCATCGGCCGGGTGTGGCTCACCGTCCTCTTCATCTTCCGCATCCTCATCCTGGGCACGGCGGCCGAGTTCGTGTGGGGGGACGAGCAGTCGGACTTCGTGTGCAACACCCAGCAGCCGGGCTGCGAGAACGTCTGCTACGACCAAGCCTTCCCCATCTCCCACATCCGTCTGTGGGTGCTGCAGATCATCTTCGTGTCCACGCCGTCGCTCGTGTACGTGGGCCACGCCGTGCACCACGTGCGCGTGGAGGAGAAGCGGAAGGAGCGCGAGGCGGAGGGGCTGTGCCTGCAGGTGGCGGGCGACGGAGGCGACAGGCTGCCCCTCCCCGCGGAGCAGGGCACCATCACGAAGAGCAGCAGCAGCAGCAGCAAAGGCCCCAAGAAGTTCCGGCTGGAGGGGACCCTGCTGAGGACCTACATCTGCCACATCATCTTCAAGACCCTCTTCGAGGTGGGCTTCATCGTGGGCCACTACTTTCTGTACGGCTTCCGGGTCCTGCCCCTCTATCGCTGCAGCCGGTGGCCCTGCCCCAACGTGGTGGACTGCTTCGTGTCACGGCCCACCGAGAAAACCGTCTTCATCCTGTTCATGTTGTCTGTGGCTTCTGTGTCCCTCCTCCTCAATATTGTAGAGACGAGCCACCTGGGCCTGAAGACCATCCGGGCTGCCTTCAAGGGGCCTGTGGAGCAGCCGCTGGGGGAGACCCCCGAGAAGCCCCTCCACTCCATTGCTGTCTCCTCCATTCAGAAAGCTAATAAGGGCTACCAGCTCCTGGAGGAAGAGAAAATCGTGTCCCACTATTTCCCTTTGACCGAGGTCGGCATGGTGAACGCCAGCCCGCTGTCTGCCAAGCCTTTCAGTCAGTTCGAGGAGAAGTTGGGCACAGGACCCCTTGGGGACCTGTCCCTGGCTTACCAAGAGACACTGCCTTCCTACGCTCAGGTGGGGGCACAGACAGTGGAGGGGGACCAGCAGCCTGCAGAGGAGGGAGCAGAACCCAAGGCGGAGGAGAAAGGGCAGGAAGCAGAGAGAGTGAGCAGCGAAGGGCAGGAGACCATGGCCGTCCTGGAGGGGGAGAAAGGGGAAACCCCTGGAGTGGGAAAGGACGGTGAGAAAGAAGAACCACAGGCGGAGAAGGTGACAAAGCAAGGGCTGCCAGCTGAGAAGGCACCTTCCCTGTGTCCAGAGCTGACAGGGGATGACACCAGAGCTCTGAGCAGGCTGAGCAAAGCCAGCAGCAGGGCCCGGTCGGACGATCTCATGGTTTGAAGTGGTGCCAAAGAAAGAAAGAAAAGAGGAAGAAAACAAAAAAACAAACAAACAAACAAACAAACAGAAAAACACCAGAGCTGACATACAGGGCAAGATGAAAGGAAAAGATGCCAACATATTTGAGCCTTCGGTCCCTTCCCTCACACCCACCTCTGGAGGGACAGGCGTGCTGTGGCGCATGCTGTACAGCTAGGAAACTGTCTTCCCCATACACAAGGGATACTGAAATGAACCCATCCCATCAAAGTATGACTGGCCTGCCCCTCTACCCCAACGGCTCTGGCGGACTCTGCGTTCATCCCCTTTTTTCCAAAGAAGTCCTTCTGATCAGAGTTGCAATTGCCTGATTGCTTTTCACTAGTCCTGTCTCAAGCTCACTAACTCAGCCAGACTTTGTCACCCAGGCCTTCCCTAGCAGACGCCATGTGACCATATATCAGGGATCTCAAACGCAAATGCCTAAAGGGTGCAGGCAGGTGATTTCAGGTGGTGAAGTGGCCTGTTCTAATGCCATGGAAAGCTGGGGCTGTGAAAGTCCCAGAGAGCAGAGGGCATGTGCTCCCCAGGTCCACACAGTGCTACCTGGCCATCTGATCATTCAAGAGAAGCCAGAAATCCAAACTTTCACGTGAAATTTCCAACATTTAAATGTTGCCAACTAAATTTGGATTATATAATACCATGTGGGGCGAACAAAATGTGTGCAAGCCAAATCGCGCCTGTGGTCAGCTTATACTGCTGAGCCCAGCGTTCCTATAGAATTGCTCATACTGTTGATGGCTTCAACTTGTTTCTGTGGCTCTGAACCCCATTGCACCATTTTGGAATGTTCGGCTTAAACCATCAGTCCAGGGGATACCCAGAGTTCTCACTGTCCTTTCTCTTTGGTCCCTGTCATCCCTGGGTTCAGACACAATTACATAGCTAGTATTGGTGGGAATTCTGCCCTGGGCACCATCAGAGAAAGAAATCAAGACCCCAAAACTAAAAAGGCTTTGAGGCCCGGTCACATTTTTATTCCCTGGAACAAAAAGGCCCTTTTCTTTTCTCTCCTTTTCCAACTTCAATGCTCAGTCTAAAATCTGCACCTCTTTTTATCAGGAATGGGGAACACGCCCAGCTTCCAGCCAGAGGGTACCTGCCCACAGGCCTGTCTTGAGGAGAGTCTGCTCTCAGGCACCAGACATGTACAGAAAGGACCATCAGAGTGGCACTAGGGGCAGTCTCTTACAAAGTGGGGGCTCAAACAGCCAACATCCCAAAGTCCAGTCCCAGGCCAGGATTCGTCCCTGGAAGGTATGTAGAGGCTAAAAGGAATAAGAGGGGGCTCGAAGGTCTCCAATCCTTCATCCCTACAGCCAGTACTCCTCACACACAGAGTCCAGCCAGGGGACTTCCTCAGGTACAAGTGCATATTCACACAAGGAGCTGTTTTACCTCGAGCCAGTCAACGCCCAGAGCAGAGGGAGAAAGTGATCACCAAGATGGTTCATCAAACCAAAGTTATGCTTCATGGACTACAGTGCCAAAGCTAAGGTAGGAGGGACAGAAACCAAGTTGACATGGCAGGGACCTGGACAGGAAACCATCGGGGACCCAAAAGAGGTACCAGAAAAACTGCCTGCATTCTGTCTCCCCCACAGCCAGCACCAACCCAAAGTGTACAAATCCGTTGTGCTGCCCTCTGGTTACCACCTTCCTTTTAAGATATTCATTCTAGATATGCTTTTTCAGAGCACAGCCTCTTCCGAAACTATTCCTTTCTGTGACATATTCCCATTCTTTGGTGCCCTAATCTAAAGCAAAGTGGTCTAAAAATTAAATTCATGCCAAGGTCTGATCGTTTGATAATTACCCCAAGGAAAATCTACATTCTAAAAGAGAAAGCCTAAGATATATTTTACCTAGGTTAATCCAAAGTGACCAACCTTCAATGAAGGAAGGTATCAAGCAAAGGCGAGTTGAATAGAAGAGGTATATTGGTCTTACAAACATGTGACTTCCTGGCTACTGCTTCAATCTTCCCCTAGCAGCCAACACTATTCCTCACAGACCCTATTCTGTATGGCGAGAGAGGTAACAAAATCCCAGGCCTGGGAACAGCCAGTGCACCATTGACCCCAATGGCTGCACTATTGCTCCTCCAGTTTTGCTCCTGAAGAGCAATTTTAAGAAGATAAAAACTCAGGGCCTGAGAATAGCGTGATCCTTACCAGAATAAAGCGCCTGTCTCAACTAGGACCTAATCCAAAACAAAAAAAAAGAAAAAGAAACCTGCATTCTGTTCTAAGTGGAAACTGCTGGTGCTGTTTGGAACCAGCTGTAGGGGTGTTGTAGGTGAAGGCTGCTGGCCTCCTTGTCTCTGCGAGGCCACAAGTGTGTGCGCGAGTGCATTTCCTTGGATGAAGCAGCATCCTGCTTCAATGTCTCTACCGACCCTGTCACCATGGATGTGGCCATTTTCCCTTAGTCTTCCCAACAAAAGAGGAAGCCTATTTGAGAAGAAAGAGACACAGGCAGGATTTTTTTTTTCGATTTCTGCCATTTTGTAGCTGTATTATTGTCACCCCTTAACCTCTCTGTACCTCAGTTTTCTGTCTACAAATGAGAGCTGGCATTTGCCACCAACCTAACTCCAGGGGTATCATAAGGATTAATGAGTGGGCTGCCATGCCTGGAGCCTGATGAGTGCTGCCACTCCCTGAGCAGGGAGGCTGGGACAAGGGGAAGGTGGGTGCTTTCCATGTGACCCTCCCAGCCTGCCTTGCAGTTACGTGGTGAGAGTTTTTCAGGGTGGAATAGACACTCGGGAGATCAGTTTTCTCAGAGAAGACTCAAAACAGAATCTTGACCTCAGATGTTTCGTAGGAACCTCAGGCTCTTTGACCTTGAGAAATGTCTGGGGACATATTGGCAATTACTTTCCTCCTCTGGAAAATGTCCCTTCGTGCCTCATCTTAAGCTGCCACACAACTGCTGCCAGGTTCCAGTCGCAGGCAGCTGTGTGTCTGTGGAGGCCCTTACTCTATGCAGCCGGGTCCCTCAGTCTCTGTGTTGAGGCAAAAAATTATGATTGACTCAGGATTACAATCCCCCTGGGCTCCATTAGGTACAGCTTTAAATCCCACTCCTGGTCCTTCCCTTGTTAAACTAACCCCACAGGGCATATGGACCTAGCAATAAAAAGATGCATCAGGCAGCAGGGCAACAAAAGAACCTCTCCCTCTGGAGGAAAAGGACCAATAGCTTAATAGCAGTTATAACACCTTCAGCGGGAGATCTGTGACCAGGAGGGACAAAGTCAGTCAAAGTTCAGTTAGACAGTTTCGAACCTGGCTCTGTAATCCCCATGTCTAGCATTCGGGGCGTTATAAAAAGGCCTATCTGCTTTTCACCATGACTTTGTCACTTGCCACACAGGTGAAGTACCCGACACAGAATTAGACAAATATTTCTGAAGGTCACTGTGACCTGGGCATCAGGTTTTCTCACAAAGAACAATGAAGGTCAAGTCAGAAGTGTTATTTGCCCTTTGTTGACTCTGGGGACCCCAAGATGTCACTGACCTCTTCCATATGACAGTTTCCCCTCAGTTAATTGGGGGTAACAAGTTCTGCCCCCCCTTCCCAAGATAGATCAAGTGACTCGATAGCCAGGAAACACAATGAGCATACTAAAATAAATAAGTGGGGTTTCTTTTAACTCACTAATTTGGAAACCAAAGGAAAAAGAAGAAGGCCTTATCCAAATTGGTCAGAAGTCTGTACTGTAAAATGTTTACTGAAACAATGACACTCACCACCTTCAAACAACTCAGACTGTTAACTACGATACTGATACACAAAGTGAGCCAATAAGTAAAACAAAGGAAGTGAATTAAAGAGGGAAAAAAGTCAACATTTCTGTAGTCCTGAATTCCTGAGAATTATAGTACAAAAAAAGACCGTCTTTAATCTTGCAAGAATTCATTGCTGAAAGTGGTAATGCTGGTACTCAGCTTACTGGGGCCCACGTGTAGAGATGCACCAGCCCCTTAGGTGGTCTCTGACTCCTGGCAGCTGGGAGTCCATGGATCCTGAAATTCCCTCTTGGACTCTTGGGTCCAAACCATGTGGAAGGCCCTGAGTTCCTGAGGAGGGTCCTTTGGGCATGCTGGGGTAAGAAAGAGTGTCCCACTCACCCAGCATATCTCCTCCTACTCCCCCTACCTCCTCCGGTCTCCTTCCCCTGACCCTGAATTACCCTTCTATGCATATTGTGTGCAAATGAGTGCACCACCCAAATTAGCAAAGTTTAGATGAAAAATGTTTTTGCCTGGTTGGATGGAAACTTCTCTGAGCATAAATACAATCTGTAAAATGAAATAAGTGTGTGACTAGAAGTGATCGTGAAATAGTCAGGAAAACTTTCTCTTCTTATTATTGGATTCTAATTAAATATGCAATTGGGAAGGAAGAAAAAGGCAACAAAATTCTGGGTTCAGCAGTTAGATAAGAGGAAGGAAAGATTTGTATGAAAGACAAGGTACTCTCCACTGCCCTAGATGCTGCAGCTCCCAAAGCAGGGAAGAGTGGTGCCCTGTCGTGGCAGTGACCAAGGTAGCAGTGAGATATACTGTAGACTCCAGCCCCATTGCCCTCTGGAAGTTCTCCAGGGCAGACAAAGAGAATTCTGGAAGAATTCATAAAGTTTCCTGGAGGGAAAAACAGATGGTTCCATTGCCTTTCTCAGCAAATTTTTCCATCTATGAAATAGGATCAGTCAAGACTCAGCTAAGAAGCACATTCATAACAAACTTCCTGGGGAAATCTCTGGCAAAGGAGAGAGCCATTATTAGGATTGTGTCCTGAATTCTCCAACCTTCCGTATCCTCATGTCAGAGCTAATAGTCAAGTGTAAGACTGGTACAAAACAAATAAAACTAAAACTTGACTTTTTGCCATCTTTGTGTTTTCTTTTGACCTGTCAGTCAAGCTAGACTGTAAAGAAACTGCCCTGGTTTCTGGTTATTCTTCCTTTGGAATTAAGGAGTTGGGGGATGGAGAGGGAGGCAGTAGTATGCTGGTAAACATTTAACAACCAGCTTTCTCCAGGGTAAAGAGGCCCTGGCTTGTAGCGTTTGCCAATTTCCTTGGTGTAAATTCTCCCACCACCACCAATTTCAAGCAACACAGAGATGGGAAGAGATATGCAGTGGCACAACATTATGAAATGTTCCTACCATACACTAGATATATATAACCTCGAGAGCATGAGTAATAGCAAAGTCATTAAGAAGTGAAGAGCTTTCAGTATTTATGACCTTTGTATTTCGTATTTTTTAATTAAGTTTATGTAATTTAATTGTTTTTTAAAATTATTATTATTGGGGAATTGAGGAGGGGAACGGTGTTGGGGAATTGGGGAAGGGGAACATTGTGTTTTTCCAGGACCCATCAGCTCCAAGTCAAGTTGTTGTCCTTCAGTCTTAGTTGTGGAGGGCGCATCTCAGCTCCAAGTCCAGTCACTGTTTTCAATCTAGTTGCGGGGGGTGCAGCCCACCATCCCATGTGGGAATCGAACCGGCAACCTTGTTGTTAAGAGCACATGCTCTCACCAACTGAGCCATCTGACCGCCTTGTAATTTAATTGTTAATAAAGACTGTACTTAACAACTGGCTCACAAAATTTCAGGAAATTTAGCAAATGATGCTTATGAGCCAGGACAAGCCATCTCAGCACACCACAGAGCAGTACCTGATTCAGAAAGCACATGAAAACTTTCCTTATCAATTGAGATTGGATCCCTCCCTATCTCACACAAACCTCAGGAAAAATAAAAAAGTACATGTACTTGTTTGGCCTTATGGGAAGAGGCAAAAGAATAGGATTTGTTCTCTTCCATGTCATTGAGAACTGTGGAAAGAGTTAAAGGTATTCATTACAGATAAAAATAAATAACGTAAAATAAAACTAGCCAAACGATTCTGCCTGGGATTTATCATGTCACTTCAGTATTTAAAATTCTTCAATGGCTCTTCATTGCTTACCCAACAAATTCTCAATTCCTCAACATGTCTTACAAAGCCTTTATAGCTGACTTCGACCCACCTAGAAAGGATGTCTGTTTTTACCTGCCCAGAATCTATTCTCCCTTTTTTCTATAATAACATTTCTATTTTACTTAGAGGGAAATAACCTTCCTCAATTGGATATAGTCTTGGTGAGACTCTTAGTCATGTCTAAGCGAATTCCCCTGGTCAAGGGTCAGGTTTTGTGTTTGTTTGTTTTAACTCAGATGGGCCAACCAAACACTTTCTCCCTAGAATGTAGATCTTGAGCGGAATAACAGAGAGACTGAAATTTGGTTGGAATTCATTTATCTTGACAGAACCCCTGAAGAGACTCACAATTAGTTCCTGCTTACCTGGATTTCTGGGAGATGCTTAGATTTTTTTTTTCCTGGTTCATCAGCCTTCCTTTAATTTGCTAAGCTACCCCAGGCCACCCCCCTTAACCCCCATTTTTAAAATTTAACATAACCAAAATTATCCTGTTGCATGCAAGCCCCTGACTGATGTACCACCTTTCTGGCCTCATCTCCCACTCCGTCCACACATGCATCTGCCCCAGCCTTTCAGACCCACTGGCTGGTCCCCAGTAAGCACAGGCCTGGTACATAGTGATGAATGAATTTCACGTTGTTTGTGCCCTTCCTGCGTCTTTTTCCCTATCATCAGCTCTTTCTCGCCCTTCAAGATTCAGCTCAGCTGTCTCCTTCTTTACGAAATTTCACAAACTCCCCAAGACAAAGTTTGTTGCTCCCTCTTTTGTGATTCCTCAGTACTCCTGTGCACTTCTATCATAGCACTTATCCAATCGTTTCATTTCTTGCTTTTCTCCCATCTGACTGCAAGCAAATTTAGGATAGAGATTTTATCCCATATATCTCTGAATATTCAGTACTTAGCACAGTGTCTGGAACATAGTAATGTTTGGTGAATGAATGAATGAACGAATGAATGAGTACTGAGACATCTCCCAAGGCAGGAAGGAGATAACTGGCCAAATGCTCCCCAGCACCAGAGCAGGCTGACGCTACATAGGAATATATCTGAGGAAGAAGATCCCTGAAGGTCCCAGGAGTTCCAGGCTTGAAGGCAAGCAGGCTTGCTTTGTCAGAAGTAAAGGAAGGAAAAGAAATTTCCATTTGGATTGCTGGCTGTCATCACACAGAGCAACCTTGGAAGCTGTATGTGGAAGATGGTAGTCAGCGTCTTTGAATGATTGCAGGTCAGAGGGCCCCAACCCCTACCAATTCCCATTACGTAATTGGGCGTTTGAACTTTACAGGAAATAAAAAAGTTAACATCTATTGCATTAATCCTCTAAGATCTCCAGATTCATCTATTATAGGATCTAGCATTATCTTACCTGTTTACAGAAATTGAGTTTGGAGGTGGTTGTAACAAAAACCTAAATTATGTGGCTTTGTCTTAACAGTTGAGCCGTGAGTACTGAAAAAATGAAATTTAAAGGCTACAAGAATAGAGCCCCAGGCTGTGCCATCCAAATATTTAGTAAAATGCTCCCTGTGATGATGTGTGTGTTATCTATTGCTGTGTAACAAATCACTCCAAAACTCAGTGGCTTAAAACAACAATAAGCACGTATTATGTCTCTCACCGTTTCTGTGGGTCAGGAATCCTGGGGCAGCTTGGGGTCTCTCATGCGGCTGCAGTCAGATAGTGACTGGGCCACAGTTACAGAGGCTGCCTGGGGGTAGGACCAACTCACTTACACGGCTACGACGAGCCAGTTGGGCTGGCAAGTCGGTTTCTCTCCACTTGGGCCTCTCCATGGGTCTGCTTGAGGGTCCTAATGAGCTGGTGGCTGGATTCCCCAGAGCAAGTGATCCCGGAGATCAAGGCTGAAGTTGCAGTGTTTTTTATGACCTAACCTTGGAAGTCGCATACCATTACCTCCACCGTACCTTATTGGTCACTTTCCCTCAGGCTACCCCAACTACTGTGAAGAGTATAAACTAGAAAGGAGCAAGATTTGAGGAAAAGACATCAATTTTGGCTCCTTTTTCTTTTCTTTCTTTCTTTTTAAATGATTTAATTGTACATATGATATGTGTCGTAATCTGCTCCAAATGCTTCTTGGACTGAGGCAGGATTTGAACAACAAATGATAACTATAATGCAATTTCCAGATTGCTGTACAACTGCCACTAGCCAAAGGATAATATCTAGTCATGATTCCATTGGCCAGGACAGAGTTTTGAGTACCTTTTTTTTTTTTTCGGGGGTCAGGGGGGAGTCCTCTAGCTTCTGTTTTTCTTAATACACAGCTTTCCTGAAAACTGTTCAGTCTTTCTAACTCATCCCAGTTTGCCAGTTGCATTTTTATATTTTTCCATTTGCTACATTTATCATCTCTACGCTGGCTAGATCTGTAGATGGAAGAAAGAGCCAGGCACTTCCAGAACTGAGTTAGACTAATAAAACCAACAGAAAATGAATGAGATCAAATAAATGTACGTGATCTGAGCCAACAGGATATAAAGTAACCAAAAACAAACCCTCAATCACACCTTTAAAGCAAACATAATGACAAGGGGTGTTCTTACGTCTTTGCAACAAACACGGACATATCTAATGTCTCCCAGATCAGAACCTCAACTTTCTCCAATTTTTTTTTCATGATTGTATCACAGCGAAGCAATAATTTCTAGAACAAGTCTATATGCTTCTTGAATTATAGCTAGTTGCCTTCCCTTTAAATATTTTTAAGTACTTACTTATCTAGTAGTCAAAGACCTTCTTAACTTTTTAAAAATCCTGTTGACCTAATCACTGTATCTAGTTAGGTCCTACATATCCACTGGGACAGCTGCGACCCTCCTCTTTCCAGATAAGTAACAGACAAGGAAAATAACAACAAAGAGACAGCTGACAACCTGTCTTTTAGTTTCAGAGAAATTAGAAGAAAACAAACAGTGGACCCCAAAAGTAAAAGACTAGCATAATTTCAAAAGATATTTACTTAAGAAAATAAAAGGGGCCGGCCAAGTGGCACATTGGTTAAGAGCTGGCTTGGGACGCCAGAGGGCGCCGGTTTGGATCCCACATATGAGAGCCAGTGACACTGCCCTCCACAGCTAAGATGCTGAACAACAGCTCAACCTGGAGCTGGGATGCCATGAGTCGCCAGCGACGGTGTAGGCTGCAGCCCCTGTGGCAGTGGGTTGCCATGGGGTACCGTGTGTAGCCAGCAGCCAGCGTGAGCGGCCAGCAGCCAGCGTGAGCGGCCAGCAGCCGCAGTGAGCAGCTGTCCAGTAGCCGGTGCCTGATCTGCCTCACCTGGGAAGAACGCCATGATGGTGCCAACATGGGCGAATGAAGCAACATTCTCCACAACTAGACTGAAGAACAAAAGGACAGCAACTTGTCTGTTCCCCTTCCCCCATTTCCCCAGCGCTGTTCCCATCCCCCAATTCCCCCAATTAAAAAAAAGAAAGAAAGAAAAAAAGAAAAGAAAAGTAAGCTTAGAATCTATTTTGTGCTCTCAAAAAATTTTTGAAGAACACATGGACTCTATAAAACAAGAAATGAAATACAAGATAATAAGATAATAGACTGAGGTGGGAAAGGAGCTGGCAGAGTTAGCAAACAGCACCACAGCAGAATTAAGAGGAATAAAAGAGCAGACTTAGCAACACAGAAAGTCAAATCAATTTTGTAAAGAATAAACATCAGAAATTCTCCCAGAATGCCAAGAGGAACAAAAAAGATGAAAATTATCAGAGAAGAGATAATAGATATAGAAAAAGGCACTAGAAATCCACTACATAGCTCTTGGTACCCCTCAAG